TCTGCCAGAGTATATGGATTACCAAAGTTGCAACTGGTGATGTTAAATTTCTTTTATGACCATTTTTTGTTAAGTGTTCCATTCAGAGCAAATCTCCCCTATATGCAAGAAGAGACAAAGGAAAGCATAATTTTTCTACTACATTAGAAAAAATTCGTTTTTTTGCTATGCTTAATATCTTTGGAAGCCGTTGAAGCAACCATTTTCTTTTTCCTGTTTACTTTGAAAGAAGTAGTTATTTTATTTACGGCGTGGTTTATTATCGAGGTAAAAAATGTTGAATTTGATCCACAGGTAGATGTAATTTATAAAGAATTTTTGATTAAATTGATGCTGACCAAAAGCAAAAACGTTTCTTTAAAAGCACAAGAAAATTCTAAAAGTGAAATTTGGAAAAATTTTAGCAGAATTTATTTTAAAAACGTAGCTACATCATTTATCTGCGAAGAGTATATAAGCGCACGTCGCAAGAAGATTCGTGATTAGTGAAATTACGACAGCGAGTATTATAACATTGGTGTCAAAAGTGGGATCTTCGACCAGCGAATTACTACTCATAAAAAAAGAACACGATCGATTTTCAGCAGTAGCTCGAGATAAAATATTTATACCCAAATAATCTGTCAGGTCCTAATGACTATATTAAGCATAATCATTGAATTACCCATATTAGCTGGGATTTGTCTGTTCAATGATAAAGAACCGATAACCGACAGAGGAGGAACTGTCGAGAAGGCAGACTGTGGGCTAATAATGTTCCAATCGAAAAGCAAGGCGAATTGAATTTAAGAGGACTTACAACACGAATAAAACCTGTTTCGTAGACGGGATTCACTGCCTTCTCTTGGAGGGGAAAATAGCTTTAAACTCAGTTTTTCAAGATTTTAATATCTCTTGGAAAGTAGAAGAACTCAGTGAAGGACTGAATTTCCTAGATGACATCAAACGAACCAAACGATCAGTGTTAGCAGTTCCATGGTTTGGGGTAGGTGGAGCAAGGTGTGATATCAGTGGTGCCACTGAAAGCATAGAAAAGAGGATTGAACAGAGGTATACCACCACTCAATCACATATTGACAACTTAACTTCTTACACTGAGTCTAATTAAACATGAAAATGAAATGATAACAAAATTATCAATAGAATTAGGTGGCATAACGAAAAACTTTAAAGTTTATGAAGAGAAAGTGAAAGAATTTGATCAGAAAATGATGGAAATTATGCAAGCAGAAGACGACAGGATGATAAAATCCTTTAATTCAATGGGGAACAGTATTTCTCAAGCAGAGATAGAGATAGCATTCCTACAGATAAAGATGATGGAAATCGAAATGAA